AGAAAGTGTCTGCCGCCTGCAGCCTTTGCCAATCAGCGCTCAGAAGTGGTGCGTGAACACCACATGGCTGTAAAGGGTTAAGGTTCTGACCATTGATGTGTGTGTAAAAAACTGTATTTAAGCTTTGAGCACTGAGGAGTTCCTCAGTGCAGTTCTGAATGTAACCATTGTTCTGCACTCCTTGCTTGCAAGTAAAACTTTTAAAACTTGAGATCTCGTATTTGATTCTTTATTTGATCAGATCTTTATTTGATCTTTATTTGAATTCTTTGTGTGTTAGGAAACTGGGGTATGAAATAACAGCATGTTTTGCAGTCCTATCCAACTGAAAAAGTTTCCTGACAAAGGGAAACAGAAAAAAGGACAGAGGGAAATAGGTAAGAAAGGAAGCAAAGACGGAAGGAAATAAGGAACAGGAGAGTAGGAAATAAGGAAGGAATGAAGTATGGAAAGAAAGAAGGAAGAGAGGAGGAGGAAGGAAGGAATAATGTATGGAGGAAGTAAAGAAGTAGAAAGGAAGCAAGGAATTTAAAACAACGTTGTTTAAAACAACCCAGACCTACTGAAATTACTGATCCTATATAGATAAAACAAGAACAATTAAATACGTAATTAAGAATTCAGATGACTGACACTGTTTACCTACACATCACAAATAGAATCTTACCTTAGAGTTTTACTGTGCTTATTGTCATGTGCATAGCAAGAAAACACCAGTGTCCTGGACAATGAAATGATCGCTTTACTAAGCATCATTTTATGCAGATTTCAATGATGAACAGCGCTCATGCCCACGAACAGCATGTATTTGTATACAATATTTAATTTCAAAGGCAAAATCAAGGGACAGAACGGGGCGAGGGGGCTTATTTCATCTCTAAATGACAGAGCAATTAAAATAGAGGAGGACTACTTCCAGACCAATCTGGTAAGAGGAGTTTTTGTAAATCTGTTTTTACATTCAACAAGCCCTACAGCAAGACATTCATTTATACCACTGAGATTAATGCTTATCTAATTGTAACTTATTTAAAAACCATTTTCTTTTCGACTGGGTACCAATCAGTTTTTTCGGCATTTCAGCGAATGTGGGATATGAGAGACTGGCAAATGCAGCGCAAGTAGAAACTGTTAGTTGTTGTTTTATTTAATATCATTTGATCAGACACTTTACACACATAACTCTAAGACGAATGTGGACAGTTGATTTTTATCATTATTATTATTATTTTATTAACTCCACACTAAAGGATTTCTTATTTCATTATTCATTAAAATATAATAAAAATGGAAAAGAATCCATGGTTATTAATATTATTATTACTCCGAACCCATGTGTCACCTTGGAATCTTTTTATTTTTGTTATTATTTATGTTTATTAGTTATGTTTTTTAGTAAGATTCACCCACAGAAGTGGCAGGCAATATATACTCCCAGATCCATATGTTCACATCAGCGCTTTAAGATTTTTAGTCATTTTTTCTGGCTCTTCTCTGTACATATATCACACTAAGCAAAGGTGTTTTTTTTTCTTCTTTTTTTGTTTATTGCATTATTCCAAGTGAATTAGCTCCATGTCCTGTTAATGTCAATAAGTCCTCTGTGTTAGGGCTGTCTGTGTTTCCCTTTCCTGTCTCGTCTGCTGGGTGGAGTTAGTGTGATCACACTCACCTGTGTCTCTGATCAGTCTCATTCGTGTCACCTGGTGCCCTGGGTATATATACCTCACTCCCTCACTCTGTCTTCGAGTCTGTTTGTGAAGAGTGAGCTGTTCATTTGTGTCGGTTTTTGTGTTGTGTCATGTTTTGGAGTTTATGTTTTGGGAGTTCATGATTTGGAGTTTTTGACCAAACTACCTACACCTTGAAAAGAGTCTCTCCAGTACTGCAATTAGGTCTGCCTGCTTCCTACGATATCTGAATGTAACAGTCTGATTACCGTGAATATATTCTTGTTTTTCAGTGAAAAGAAAAAAAAAAAAAACTCCCACCAGTAAAACTATGCAGCAGTCCAGTACCTTCTCCCTGTGTCTTATGCTTTGGGTCATTGTCACTAAAAATCTAATCCACACAGGCCAGTGTAGTCCTCTGTCTGCAGAGCTAAAAAAAATGTCTGGATTTCATCTGGCTCCCTAGACCCCACTGACACTGACAGCATGCTCTTTGTAATAAAAGGACCATTGTTTAATGTGCCATAACTGGATGGAACAGCAGATGCTGCATTCCAAAAACGATAAACAACAATTCAATCCTGGGGGGAAAAAGGTATCATAGTGGTCTGGGATAAAAAGTGGATTTTCTAGGGTAAAAATAGCCATTTGATATAAAGGATGACCGCCGAACTGTGGATTGACTGTTTTAAAAAATGTGTACTTCATGCTGTACATGCTTTTCTTAGAATTATAGCCCTGCTTTAATCCATGTTTCAAAGGAATTAATTGTCTTATAATATACATTAACCACATTCTGTCCTTAATTTTTTTTTCTGTGCAAAAATTTCAACCGTTGATTTCTTCACTTGATTTACTAATACGTTTCGACTGCAGTCACCTTGGTGACAAAAATCCATCAGGTTTTTGACTGATGTCTGAGGGAATTGAACACAAAAACCTCTTGTTCACTTCGTGCTGCATTCACGGGCATAGCTAGGAGGGCTTGGGAAAGACTGCTTGCCGCTAGGGGCTGGTGGGCACAGACAAGTTGGAATGTGAATTTTGCATACTGTACGGATCATCGCCCAGTTCAGCCCAGTCACATTGAATCTTCCATCAACCAATTGTGCTTCATGAAACCGTCAGCCCCCATTTACGTCTGCCTGTTTTCTTCCCTGCGCTGCTGTAAACAAGGCCCCAGCTTTGAGCCGTCTCCCTCTGTCCCCATGTGTGCTGCTCACCAAGGAAGCAGAGACGAACCTCACCCTCACGGAGCCGTGTCAAGCTAACGTTTCACCCTGTACTCAGATTTGAAAGAGAAAGTGTGTTTTGAATTGAAGAAATTCATAGGAAAATCACTATTTTAACTTTTTTATTTTTTTCAAAATCTCTACTTACTTGTTCTTCATCTATTATGAGAATCCAGTCTTTAGAAGAGGCATGGTGATACTTCAATAATAATGTCGGCTGAAAGAAAATTACCACATTTTTATGGCGAATTTGTTTTTTTTTAAAGGTTTACAAAGTCTCCTTTTTCTGTCATTTCAATTAAACATGGTCCTCTCCACATAAGGTAATTAAAATAATAAGAAAGTCTTAAGGAATCTTATTTAAATAATAGGAAGATAAGGTAAGCCCTTTGTTTCAAAGGCACACAAAGAGCCATTCTACCCTTAAAATGCAAAACCTTCTTAATTTATAAAGCTGCCTCAAACGTGCTCGGTAATTCTGACCCGCCAACAGTTCCTTATTAAACAACAACCGTGTCAGTTGGTGTAGACAGAAAACATAATTAGTATTCAAGTATAATTAATCTATGCTGGCCCGCTTTAAGTGAATTACTCAATTATTTATGCATGTGTGCTCCTTTGATGCTAACAGATTATGTATGTTACTGGAGAAAAACCTTGAGAAATGACTTTGAAAACTTTCCAGCATTAATGTCACTACAGACCTCTGTACTGACTGAGAATTGTCTGTGAAGAGTGTAAGTACAAAAGAAGGAAGAGAAAAAAATAAACTAAAAAAAAAAAAAAAGCCATCCAAGTCATTCCAAAGGCTGTCAAGTCAAACATTACAATCACTGTCCTACATCCTCCACGAATGACAAAATAAATCAGACAAATCTGTATTTGCAGTGTGACCTCATGGGCACAATGGAAATCCAACACAGGTCGGATCAGGGTCTTTCCTGGGATCATGGGAACTCTTTGGGATTTTCAAGAGCCTTTTTGTTTTTACCCTTGAGAACCAAGCACTGGCCTCTGCACCCCTCAATCCCCTATTGAGAACACAGAGGCAGTGCAGAGGAATGTTGAATGTCAATGGTCAGGCTGCACCAGCACCTTTGGAGGGAGGGAGACGGAGGTAGCCTGTGTGACCTGATGTCTTTGTGCACAGCCACAGCTGCTGTGAGAGGCCAGGAGTGAAAATGTACTCACACTGTCAAGGTGTCCATCCCCACAAACTGCCAAAAGACCGGCAACTCTGTGACCTTGACCTCCGATCAATGACGCGCACTTCAAAGCAGAATTTAAGAAAAATTGCTTAAATAATTTTTTTTCCCTAAATGATGCCAAAAATTTGCACCGAGTGTCTTTTTTTTTTTTTTTATCGCTTACTGTGCAATATGAAACCCCTTCGGTCCAAGCTGTGTTATCTCTGAGCTGCCCGTGTGTTTAAAACTGTTATCTCCGCAATGCATCTCGGAGACGAAAGGGGGCAATAAACAATGTTTATTATCGCTGATGAATTATTTGCCCCTCTTGTTTAAATAGTTTATTCATTTGTATCTGGTACAATAGCGTTTGGTTTTTTATCATCTTTTTCTATGGTAATTCACATGGCCCGCACAAGTTTCTGCTGAAATAGCAAAACAAACCCCAGGCAAAATGTGAAAGATTATCCTATACCATGCGAGCTAGGATGAAATGCTATACTTTTTCATACTGAACACTGCTCCACTGGGTGTGATTGAAAAACATGTAAAGCTATTGAATCTGTGGTTTGTCTATGTGAGGGGAAAATGAGTGTTGTAACAAGTGGGCCAATGTTTTTGTAATTGTTTCAAATTACACTGGCTGCAATAACTCAGTGAAAGTAGAGCCAGTGTGCGGTCCGTACACCCAACATTACACAGCTCAGTCCAAGGAGTTCAACAGTGGGATACTGTACAAAGAAAATACAAAAATATATTTGGTCACATGACCACCACTCACTTTTTAAAAACATATATGTTTTGTGCATTCTATGGCCACAAGACCGACGTAGCCCAGTGGATTTGAAGATGTCTATAGCCTTTACATCCATTTCATGCACACTGACACACACACGGACAACATCAGCAGCTGTACTGTTAAAGGAAGGGCAGAAAAGAAATAAAATTGACCAACCATTTGCAGATTATGGCCACAACAAGTAGTTCACCTGAGGTGATCTGCTGGATTTGGAATTAACATTGTCACATTAGAAGTTGCTTCTAATGTGGTTTTTTTATCAATATATTTTTCAGAAGAGCTCAAAGTGCCATTTGCTCCTTTTTTGTTTGTAAACTTTTGTTTGGCCAGAATAAAAAAAAAATCTGCTAATTTGATAATATTAGTTTGATTTTTTTTTTAAAAGTAATTCTAAAACTAGAGAAAGGTTTACTCTCTCAGACTTCACTTAAGCTACCATGGCTTTGTCCATTTCTTTTGTATGATCTTATGACATTTGTTTTTAACATTCATCAAAAACATCACATTTACACACTCTGCACACACCCTTATATACACAGAGTGCTTCAGACCTTCCCCACACACATTCTTTTGCACGTTTATTAAAAAGCCAAAATACCATTTCCTATGCATCACTAATGGACTTTAAGGCTGCAGCCTGCCCAAGAGTCTCTCTGGACCCACGTCCTTTTCACTCAGCAGCTCTCTTATTTGAAAAAGAATTCTGAGGCAAAGTGGAACCAGCCATTGCAGGGAGAGCTTGTCACTTTAGTTCTTTATCCTGGCCAGCAGGACTTCAACAGTTCATCACCTTCAGAGGCAGACACTGTCACAGCTACACCAGTAGTCTTTAATCTGTGTACTCCGCTACAATAGACAGCAGCACTGTGATGTCATCTGGCTTTCCTCCTGAAGAAAAAAAGAATCCTGTTAGCAACGGATCTCAGGGAGAATGTTGTGCATTTCATCCCAAGGACATTCATGTTTTGATTTAAGTGAGAAACTAGACACTTTACCTCTTACATTCAGCCCATTGTCACAGGCAAACTGTGCAAAAGGTGACATGTAGTTTGGGTCATACGCCAGATCGTGGGCCTGCTCTGCGATGTTCCTTGCCGTCTTCTGCATGCTCTTACAGTTTGTGTTCTTTGGCGGAAAAGAGAGAGATTTTATGATGTTCGAATTTTACTTTGTTTTTTCTCACACCAGTTGAAAACTTACCTTGAGCTTCTTCAGTTCCTGCAGAATCATGTAGTCAGGCATGTTGTCAAAGAGCCCGTCAGTGGCAGTGAGGATGATGTCACCCAGCTGGACATCGAAGGAAGAGCTGTCTGCAGCGTCAGGGCTGGTAGTTAAAAAAAAAGTCATTTAGAAAAAGAATAGTCACACTTTTGTTTTAATGTCAGATACTTTATCCATACTGTTATCATTAATCTTTTGGATTACTGTAACAACCATACATGTTGGTGTCGGCCAGGATCACCTGTCCTGTCTACAACAAATGCAGAACTCTGTAACCACCTTGTCAGTGGAACACAGAGGAGAGAGAGCATATCACTCCTATTTTGTGCTTTTTCTACTGGCTTACACTGGTCTTAAGACTAAATGGTTTTGCCCGGCCCTCCCACTCTGATCTGCTTCTAAGTCTCCAAGATCTCTAAGACCGGGATGGAGGGTTTTTGGTTCTCCCTAGGACCAGACCGAAGATCAGAGGTGACTGAGACTTCCCCGTTCTGGCGCCAAAAATGTTGAATGAGTTAGCTGATACATTAGATGAGACAGTTTATAGATTTGTTTACACTCATTTTTACCACATCCTGAGTGTGTTTTAATTTATTAGTATACATTTGTATTTATTTCATTTTCATATATTTTATTATTCATATGTGCTTAAGTGCATATCATTTTACTGATAGTTTTAAGGATGTATGATTACTATGTACGGTACAACACTATTGTTTTGCAAAACAAGAAGGATGAGCTAGACATAAATTCCCCATTGGTCCTATTAAAACTAGTCGCTGCAGTTGTTATGACAAAATTATATTCAGTTATATTATTCACCACTTAACTTGTACTGAAACTCACGTAGTCAGTGGAAAAACACTGAAACGACCTGTCTGACCTCATGCGTGCTAGCCAGTGATGGGAAATCTACTCATTATCGTTTCTGCGGTTCCTATAAGGCCTTGAAAATTATATGCACATACTCCCTGTTTCTGAATTACTGTTAGGCCAGATAATCTCACAGGTGGCGATGGTACTGAAGGCACTGGCCCCCACTCATATTCTTGTACACACACACAAATGTATCCAGCACACTATAAATGTAACATGCACTAGCTTGCAAATGGGCACTCTCTTACAGACAAGTGCTTGTGTTGCTCTCTGTAAGACCTGCGCCCTGGAGCTTCATTAAAGCTTCGATAACAACTTTCAATAAATTCTCCAATAAACTCTTTAAACTGAACAACGTTGTTCATTTTCTGTCCATCCATCCATCCATCTTCAACCGCTTATCCGGGGCCGGGTCGCGGGGGCAACAGTCTGAGCAGGGACACCCAGACTTCCCTCTCCCTCGAAACTTCCTCTAGCTCTTCTGGGGGGACCCCAAGGCGTTCCCAGGCCAGCCGAGCGACGTAGTCGCTCCAGCGTGTCCTAGGTCTTCCCCTAGGTCTCTTCCCAGAGGGACGGCACCCGAGCACCTCCCGAGGGAGGCGTCCGGGGGGCATGCGATGTAAATGCCCAAGCCACCTCAGCTGACTCCTCTCGATGTGGAGGAGCAGCGGCTCTACTTCGAGCTCCTCCCGCGTGACAGAGCTCCTCACCCTATCTCTAAGGGAGCGCTCTGCCACCCTGCGGAGAAAGCTCATTTCAGCCGCTTGAATCCTTGATCTCGTTCTTTCGGTCATGACCCACAACTCATGACCATAGGTGAGGGTAGGAACGTAGATTGACCGGTAAATTGAGAGCTTCGCTTTTCGGCTCAGCTCCTTCTTCACCACAACGGACCGATACAGCGACCGCATTACTGCGGCCGCAGCACCGATCCGCCTGTCAATCTCACGCTCGATTCTACCGTCACTCGTGAACAAGACCCCCAGATATTTGAACTCCTCCACCTGAGGCAGGACTTCATCCCCGACCCGAAGGGTGCATACCACCTTTTTCCGGTCGAGAACCATGGCCTCGGACTTAGAGGTGCTAATTTTCATCCCAGCTGCGTTACACTCTACTGCAAACCGCCCCAGTGCATGCTGCAGGTCCTGGTTCGAAGAAGCCAACAACACCACATCATCTGCAAAAAGCAGAGATGAAATCCGGTGGCTACCGAACTGGACCCCACCCGACACCTGGCTGCGCCTAGAAATTCTGTCCATGAAAATAATGAACAGAACCGGTGACAAAGG